CCCCTCTGTCTCCCTCCTGTGTCCCCCCACTCCCCCTCTGTCCCCCACACTCCCCCATCTCCCCTCTGCTCCCCGTCTGTCTCCCGACCCTGCTCCCCGCTATCCCCCCTGCTCGCCCTCTGTCTTCCCCCTCTGTCTCCGCAGCAATTCGGAAAAATCCTAGACGTGGAGATCATTTTTAACGAGCGGGGCTCCAAGGTGGGTGCCGCGAGAGGCCGCCCCGTTACCGCCGCTGTCGGCCCCGCCCGGCTAACTGTGAAACGTGCGTTCCTTCCCGGAGCTTCGCGCCCGCGGACCCCGGACACGGGTGCTTGTATCCCCCGCCCCCCGCTGTCTGTCGCTACTTGCTGTCCTGCTTTCCCCGGACCTCGCCCACACCCCGGAGCCCGGGTGCCCTGCCCCCCACCCCCCACCCACTCAGCCTCTGCCGGGAGCCTGGGGGAGGGGCTGCGGGCACTCGTGGAGCTGGGTGGGTGGCCGGAGGGTGCCTGTCGCACAAGCCCAGCCGCCCCCTTGCAGCCCCCCGGTGGGGTGAAGATCTGGTGGGGCTGTCTGTGCCCCTGGAGGCCCCGAACCCCAGCCTGGGCGCCCTCCCAAGGCCTGGTGGCTAGTTAGGGACTCTCGTGGCTTTGGCTGACCTTTAAGGGGCCAGCGGTCTGCTCCGACTGGGCACCTGACCCCCTTGCCTCGAACCAGCACCAGGACAGGCCTCTGGTCTACCTCTGTCTCCTCCAGCCTGACTGGGCCTCTCTCCCCTCTCTCCTCTCTGCCCCCCCCCGTATCCCCCCTTTTCTTGTCCTTTTCTCATCTTTTGTCTTTCTCTCCATGTCTGTCCTTCCCACTCGCAGGGCTTTGGGTTTGTAACTTTTGAAACTAGCTCAGATGCTGACCGAGCCCGGGAGAAGCTGAACGGGACCATCGTAGAGGGACGGAAAATTGAGGTGCTCAGATAAGTGGGATGTGGCAGACGCACCGCAAAACCAGCCCCCCGTGGCGGGAAGGGGCGCAAGCGGCGGGAAGGGGCGAACCCAGGCCGGCGCCGTCCCCACATCCTGGCTCCCAGCCAAGCCCCTCACCTGCCTCTTGCGTTGGGACTAGATGTCAATTTGCCTGGGTTTTCCCCTCCCAGCCTTTTCCCAATGGCCAGGTATTCAGACCCCCACGACGAGAGGGCAGGAGGGTGGGCCTGCCCCACACCTCCATGCTACACCCCCAGCCCCACACTAGGTATCTGCCATGCACTGGGGGAACCCAGAAATCAAGGGCTTGAGGCTTTGCCAACCTCAAGAACCAGCCTGTCCCCAGCTACCCCTGCCCGCCCTCCCCCACACTGCGCAGCACTCTGATTCACCCCGTCCCCTCACCCCACTCACAGCCCAGATCGGGTAGAAGCCAGGGCACCACAGCAGGTGGCCGAGGGTAGAGCAGCAGCTCCCTGGCCTGGCCTTCCTGGAGACCCGAGACCCAAGACCCAAGGAGTCAGTGGGCTCTGACTCCCGTCCCCCAGTGCCAGCTCTGGGTTTTGGCCAGGACATAGCAGTGGAGTGGCTGGTATGGAGGAGGGGTCAACAGCCAACACAGAGCCCACGGGGCACATGAGCCCACAGAGGGGCTTCTGGAGGCAGGAGCACTGACGACCCTGACCTGGGCCCAGGCTCCGTCCAGTACCCAGATGGGTACCTGAGGCCACTGCCCCGTAGGACAGGCTGTGGACCTGAGGGGTCAGGAAGGGCCAGACTTCTCCTCTGGTCCCTTCCACCTGCCCTGTTCTCTCTGCCCTTCCTGGGGACTTTCTCTGTCCCTTCTGCGTCTGTGCGGCCTCTGCTGCCTGGGGCAGCAGAACCCAGGTTTTGGACATCTGAAAAGGAGGGTCCCCAGAGTGTCCCCTTGGCTCCCGCCTGCCCAGCGCTGCCCCCAGCTGGCCCCACCAGGACACCTCCTGGCCTCCAGGCAGTGGCGCCCCCATAGGAAGGACCGCTGTCCCTGTGCCGTCAGCCCCCCTGGCTAAGGACAGCCCGTTGGGCCCCAGCTGAGGGCAGACTGGGCCCCTGGAGAGAGCCACCACACAGCTCCTTGTAGTCCCAGGTCGAGGGGGGCTTGGTGCTCACTTCCGGGGGTCAGCGACAGTAGGACCCATGCAGCTGGCTGCAGTGGCTTCGGCCGAGGGCCAGACCGGGCATTGGGCAGCAGCAGGTGCAGTGGTAGCCGAGTCTCCCTGAAGGGAGGGCACGTGGCAGAGAGGAAGCCCGGGTGGGCAAGCCTAGGTGGGTGGGCCAGGCTGGGTGGCAGAAGCCTCTCCGGAATGTTCCACCTCCACAGCGGCCACTGGAGGAACAGCAGCAGAACAGGAAAGGGGCTAACGGGCGCCTCTCTCTCCGGCCAGGTAAATAACGCCACAGCCCGAGTCATGACCAACAAGAAGACGGTGAACCCCTACACCAATGGTAAGAGCCAGGCCAGTGGTGCTGCAGGGGCACTGTCGGGGAGGCAAGTGGGCAGCCCCTTCCCCATGTCCCAGCCCTGCACCCGGTCAGGAGAGAGCCAGGGCCACCCTCCTCCCACACAGTGGGTGTGTCCCGACATCGAACGCCCCTGCACCCAGAGAGGTCACACACATGGCTTTAGCAGAGTGGGACCAGGGGCGTTTCTCCATGAGGCCTTGATGGATTCTGGGGTCACAGGCCACACTGGCTTAGGGATGGATGGGGAGTGTAGGCATGAGCCCACTGCTGCCCCTCAAGGGGCTCCAACTCGCATCTTCACCTCTCTGCAAACAGGAACAGGGATGCCTGCCCTGTGGCAGCGGAGATGGCAGTGGGCGGGGCCAGGAGATGGCAGTGGGCGGGGCCAGGAGATGGCAGTGGGTGGGGCCAGGAGATGGCAGTGGCACCACAGGATGCTGGGTGGTTATTAAGGGGACAGGGATGAAAGAGACGGCTCCCCTCAGGCTCTGGAAACATGGAAAGAGCTTGGTGGCCCCGGAATCCACGGGTGATGCAAACTGAATGCGCTCAGCTTCTGATGGGAAGGCTGGCCATGTCCGCCCAGAGGCCCTCGGGAGGCCTGGAGATGTGCTTCTGAAAACAGCCCCTGGAACCCGTGCAGCGCAGGCTGCTCTGACCCACGTGGGCCACGAGTCGGAGGCGCTTCCATGACAACTGGTTGTCACTGGTTGGGGCGCCTGGTCCCTAGCACCCACACATTGGGTGGTCTCGTGCGTGTGCACCTGTCTGTAAGCAGGTGGCCGTTCTTCAGAGATGAGGCTGCTGACAGTAGGTGCTGGCTGCAGAGAGGGGGCGGAGGACCCACGGCCACTTGTGTCTTGCTCCAAGACCGCGAGGCGCTGGCACAGGGGCAGGAGCTCTTCTAGAAAGGTCCTACCGCCTGCTCCTCAAGTTAAGCTCCTTCAGTTCGCCAGTGCTTCATCCAGACAGGACGGGCCTCCCCAGGGGACATGGGCTTTGGCTTCTTGTCCTCCAGTGGGGACGGGTTGGACCGAGGTACCCCCGCTCTGGCCCTTGAGCCCCATGGATCAGATGACGGACCGGAGCGAGAAGCCTGGGATGGGACCGGGTACGTCCCCTGTGTGAGGCCCTCGCAGGCCGCCATGGGTCCAGGTCCGAGCCTGGTGTAGGGCTGGGCTCTGGCCCCTCAATTGTAGCCCCTCCAGCTTTTGTGAAGACTGTCAAATTCTCTCTTTGCTGGAACCTGGCACTCGGCACTGGAGCTGAAGGCCTGAGAATGTTTACTGGGGTGAGGGCTGTCTGTCCGCTGGAACCAGCTGCTCACTGTCCACCTGGGCCCCACATGCCCCAGCTTCCCGGGAAGGACAGAGCGCCTGGGAGCTCGGACTCCCAAGCGGAACCCAGCCCCAGCCAGCTGCGTGCTGGGCGGCTCATGGGGAGGGCGGAAGGAGGATGGAGCCAGATGAAGACCTCCACTCCCCATGGCAACAGGAGCCGTTTCACGTCCATGTCTTCATTGCCCTGGGCTCTGGAGGCTGGCTCCGAAGCCCAGCGCCTGAGCGCCCGTGGACCGTGAGCTCCACCTGACTGCTTTCGAACTTCCAGGTGCTCAGGAATCCACCAGGCAGGAGCGCGGCAGTCTCCACTGCAGAAAACAAACCAGTCGGCCAGGCGTTTCTATTCACTTACAGAAAAGGGGCCATGCAGGGAGGTCTCGGGCCTCCTCTCCATCTGGGGTCCCAGATAGGAAATGGAGCCAGCGGCAACAGACGGAGGCCGCGGTGTGAACCCAGAAGGTCATGTCCCTGTTGGGCGAGGACCTTGCTCCATGGTAGAAGCTGGAGGTTTCCCTGAAGAATGGTCTTTCTTCCCTCTAACCGATTTATGGTGGATCCACAGCAGTCACATTAAGACCCAGCACCCGTGCAGGTCACGTGCTAGTGGGTCGGTGAGGGAGGTGGCTCTCCATGTCACCCAGGGTGTACAAAGACAGCCCCCAAAGGAGCAAGGACCTGCATGCACTGTCCTAGACACCCCACCACCCCACAGTGGGGCTTCTGGAACCTAGGCCAGGAGCTCACCATGCAGGCTGCCACGGATACCCCAGCCCTGGGCCCGTCGCCCCCTCGCCAGGTGTCTCCAGCCAGCTGGCCAGAGGGCTCAGGTCCCTGCTGTCCCTCTCACAGTGGAGAGGGATGACTGGGCCTGCAGAGCAGGACTGAGGAGGGAGCCAGAAGTCTCCCCACCTGTCTGCACACCTGGAGCCAGACCCTGCCTGCAGCCTCCAGGTGGAAGCAGAACTTCTGCTGTGCCACCCACCTGGGTCCCATGTTGTTGGGTCCCGTGAAGTCGGCTCTGACTCATGGAGACGCTGTGTACAACAGAACGAAACACTGCCCGGGCCTGCGCCAGCCACGATCCTTGCTCTACCTGAGCCCATTGTTGTAGCCACTGTGCCAATCCATCTCGTTGAGGGCCTTCCCTTTTTTTTTTTTTTTTTTCCCCGCTGACCCTCCACTTTAACAAGCATGATATCCTTCTCCAGGTAATGGTCCCTTCTGACAACACGACCAAAGTAGGTGAGACAAAGTCTGGCCATTCTCGCTTCCAAGGAGCATTCAGCTACGCTTGTTCCAGGACAGACTTCTTCCTTCTGTTGGCAGTCCCTGGTGCTTTCAGCATTCTCTGCCAGCAGCACAACTCAAAAGCATCAACTCTTATTCAGTCTTCCTTATTCATTGTCCAGCTCTCACATGCATATGAGGTGATTGAAAATACCATGGCTTGGGTGAGGCACACCTTAGTCTTCAAAGAGACATCTGTGCTCTTCAGCACTTTAAGGAGGTCTGTTGCAGCAGACTTGCCCAGTGCAGTGTGTCATCTGATGTCTTGATTGCTGCTTCCATTGGGGCTGATGGTGGAACCAAGTCATATGAAATCTTTGACAACTTCAGTCTTCTCTCCATTTATCGTGATACTGCTTATTGGTCCAGTTGTGAGGATTTTTGTTTTCTTTATGTTGAGGGGTAATCCGTACTGCAGACGGTAGTTTTTAAATTTCATTAGCAAGTGCTTCAAGTCATCTTCAGTTTCACCAAGCAGTGTTGTGTCGTCTGCATAGCACAGGTTGTTAATGAGTCTTCCTCCAATCCTGATGCCACGTTCTTCTTCACACAGTCAGCTGCTTGGGTTATTTGCTCAGCACACACATTCAATAAGTATGGGGAAAGGATACAACCCTGACGTATATAAACCATGCAGTATCCCCTTGTTCTCTTCGAATGACAGCCTCCTGGTCTATGTACAGGTTCCTCATGAGCACAATTAAGTGTTACGGAATTCCCATTCTTCTCAATGTTATCCATAATTTGTTACAATCCACACAGTTGAATGCCTTTACACAGTCAATAAAACACAAGTCAACATCTTTCAGGTATTCTTTGCTGTCAGCCAAGATCAGTCTGACATCAGCAATGATATCCCTCATTCCACGTCCATTTCTGAATCCAGCTTGCATTTCTAGAAGTTCCCTATGAATATATTGCTGCAACCATTTTTGAATTATCTTCAGCAAAATTTTAACTTGTGTGTGATGTTAACGATACTGTTTGATAATTTCCAAATTTTCTAGGATCTCCTTTCTTTGGAATGGGTACAAATACGGATCTCTTCCAGTCAGTTGGCCAGGTAGCTGTCTTCCAAATCTCTTGGCATAGCCGAATGAATGCGTCCAGTGGGGCATCCGTTTGTTGAAACATCTCAGTGGGTATTCCATCACTTCCTGGAGCCTTGTTCTTCACCAGTTCCTTCAGTGAAGCTTCGACTTCTTCCTTCAGTACCATTGGTTTGTGAACATATAGCACCTCCTGAAATGGATGAACATCGACCTGTTCTTTTTGATACAGTGACTCTGTGTATTGCTTCCATCTTCTTTTGATGTTTCCTGCATCATTCAATATGGGTCCCATAAAAAAAAAAAAAGAAAATAAAGAAAACTCACTGCCATCGAGTAAGATCTGACTCATAGGAACCCCTCCTTGGGTTTCTGAGGCGGTATCACTATGGAAGTAGGTTTCCCAGCCTTCCTTCCGAGGAGTGGCTGGTGGGTTTGAACCACCAGCCTTCTGGTTAGCAGTCAAGTGCCTTAGGCACAATTGGGCCAGGAGCAGCGTGCGGAGCCAACCCACCTGCAGGGCGAGAGAGGCTTGGTCCAGAAATAGGACCTGGTGCCAGACTGTTGGGTTCTGAAATGGCCCTGCACCCAGCAGCCCTGGGGCACAGTACCTTTCAAAGCCCCCGCTCCCTCACCTGTGAGTGGAAGGGCACAACCCCACCTCTGAGCTGGTGGGAGGACCAGGGAGGGCAGATGTACATGGGTTAGTGCAGTGTATTTGGCACACAGAGTTCCTAGAGGTGTAGATGGTTCATGTGCTCAGCTGCTCACTGAAAGGTCAGAGGTCCTTGTTCACCCAGAGGTCCCTTGGAAGAAAGGCCTGACCATCTGTTTTCCCAAAAATCAGCCGACAGGACCCTGTGAGCAGAGTTGTGCGCTGACACACACGGGCCACTGTGAGTCAGAGCTGACTCCAGGGCCACTGTTATTGGGTTTTATTCTCTATGTTCGTTTTAATATGACACATAGCAGGTGCTCAGTGAATGCTGGCATTGATACCAGCGTTCCCAGATCCAAAGTCCTGCCCTCCCCTCCTCCCCTCCTTCCCAGCTCCACCAACACCAAAAGCACTCATCCGGCTGTGGTCACCATTACAAGCCGTCCCAGGTTATGAATGACTCTGTTCCTAAGTCTGTCTCTAAGCTGAGCTTGTAGGTAAGTCAGAACAGGCCCATGTGGTTCTGATTTAGGGTCAGTCACATGTTTGCCCTAGTCTGTAACTTACAGTTTACCTTTCTATGCGTAAAAGTACTTAAACACTTGCAGATGCACTGAAACATCTTCACCGTAACCATACAGTCCGTAAGAATATAGTCATAGAGAAGGAACTACCCAAGGTACTGTACTGAGAAGAGAACCTGTGTGTGGTGCATGCATGTGGGTGTTGTTAGGTGCTGCCCAGTCAGTTCCTGCACATAGCGACCTCGTGTACAACAGGCCCCAACGCCGCCCAGCTGCACATCCTCCCAGTCACGGCCACACCTGAGCCCGTCGCCACGGCCACTGCCACTCCAGCTCACTGAGGGTCCTCCTCTGTCTCACGACCCTCTATTTTGCCAAGCATGCCTTTCTCCAAGGACTGGTCCCTTCTTATGACATGACCACAGTAGGTGAGACCAAGTCTGGCCATTCTCACTTCAAAGGAACATTGAACTGTACTTTTTCCAGGACAAATTTGTTCATTCTTCTAGCCGCCCATGGTATGTTCAGTATTCACCAACACCACAATTCAAATGCATCAACTCTTCCAGCAATACCACTTAAAAAAAAAATTAAAGAAACAGTTCTTGAAGCAATTCAGATAGGAGAAAACATCACGATTAAAGGTTAACCTTACTCTCGTTCCATGGATGTCTTGCATACGGGAAGGGGAATTCATAAGGAAATATTATGATAACATTAATAACTGGATGATGCAGGAAAACATGATGGCGAGGTGGCTGGTACTGGTGAGGACGGGCCTGGGGCTAGAGAAGCTAGACCTGGTGCTGAAGAGGACAGGCCTGGCATTGGAGATGGGCCTGGTGTTGGTGAGGACAGGCCTGGTGTTGGTGAGGACGGGCCTGGTGTTGGTGAGGACGGGCCTGGTGTTGGTGAGGACGGGCCTGGGGCTGGTGAGGACGGGCCTGGGGCTGGAGGTTTAGGGTTGATTCTGTTCCTGCTGTCAGTTTCTTGAAGTTGGCATCAAGGGAGATTTGTACAGAGCTTTTCTCTGGTGGCACAGCAATTAAGGCATTCACCCACTAACCAAAGTCAGTGGTTCAAACCCTCCACCTCCTTCACAGGAGGAAGAGGAGGCAGGCAGCTTGCATGAAGATTGACAGCCTTGGAGACCCTGTGGGACAGTTCCACTCTGTCCTCTAGGGGCGCTGTGGGTCGGAATCCACTCGACGGCAGTGGGTGTGGTTTGGGCTTTGCTTCCGTGAAGATTGACAGCCTTGGAGACCCTGTGGGACAGTTCCACTCTGTCCTCTAGGGGCACTGTGGGTCAGAACTGACTCCACAGCAGTGGATTTTGGGCTTTCTCTGGTCATAGAGGACTTTGGTAACTGTGCGGTAAATTGGGGTGCCCGCCTCTGTGGGGTCTCGCTCCTCTAACAGCTCTCCCTGCTGCAATGAAGCTAAAGCCTTCAGCCAACTCCCGTCAGAGCTTCTATTCTGCAGTGTGAGGTCCCTTCTTCCTCAGACGCCCGCATCTGCTGCTCTCTGTGTGAAAGGCCCTCATTGGTCGGGAGTCAGTAACTCTGTCAGTTTTCCCTGACGCAGTGGCTTCCAGTATCCACTACTGCTTGTCTGGCATGGGGTTTACACTTTGGAGGCATGGTTACAACAGTGAAAAAGAGGAACATCTCAGCCAGAGACAAAGTTACCACTCAGCAGCGTTGACTGCAATGTGAGAGTCCTTCCTGCAGCCGCTGATGCTGGAGCTTGGTGCCTTCACAAGCATCTTTTCAGTACTTCAAGGAGTGGAAGGTTCAGTGCAGGGAGAGAGAAATCAGGCCGGCGGAGTCTTGAAAGAAAGTTTCTTAAAGCATCTGCTTGGAGACGGGCTCAGACCAGAATGGTGTGAGCCAGGGCTGAATTCAACAATGCATCAGCCCCGAGGTGGGGAAGTTGGGGGGTTTAAGTAGGGTGCCAGGAAGTTTATCAGCAGTTCCATTGTGTCTTGGTAGCAACAGTCAAGACAGCAGCTGTTCTTGGAGCTGTACACTCTGTGGTTCTGTCTGTCTCGTCTACCCAGTTCTTAGAACTGGGTTGTGACCACTGTCCTGTTACTCAGTTTCATTTATGGAGAGAAAAAGTATTAAGATTAAAGTATACAAATAACATGAGAATTCGAAGTCAAGGCTTCTATCGATCAAGTAGTGCATGTACTGAACTCAAACTTCTCATACAAGGGTCTTTACAGCAGTCGGTTCTTAACTACAAGTTATCCGTAAGTCTGACGATCTTAACCCGTGGAGTAACTACGTTTCACTGTCCCTCCTGATTCTGTTCTGTGGATGTTACACCCCAAGCTTCTGGGGTTGGTGCCCAGGGAAGGAGTGGCCCCCCGGGCAGGCTCCAGAGGCATGGCTCAGAGTGCCCTGTCCCCGTTCTTACCAGGCAGCGGGAGCCCAGCCCTGGCTGCAGCATCTGGAAGGCCCTGGTGGTGCCCGTCCACCGCTCACCCCCACGGTGAAGGAAGGGCTCTGGCAGGTCACAGCAGAAGCCACACCCTCAGTGTCCCTGCCCCCTGCCCCAGTCCTGCTTGGGGGAGGTGAGGAAAGGATGGGGAGAGAGTGACTGGTCTTTGCTTCTGTCCTAGGCTGGAAGTTAAACCCCATGGTAGGTGCCGTCTATGGACCTGAATTCTATGCAGGTGAGGGCTCAGACTCCTGGGGCAGTGGTTAAAGCGCTCAGCTGCTAACCAAAGAGTTAGCTAGCCAGCTACCTCTGCAGGAGAAAGATGTGCCAGTCTGATTCCATAGAGTTAGAGCCTTGGAGACCCTAAGGGTGTGTTCTACTATGTCCTGTAAGATCGTCATGAGTCGGAATTGACTGAATGGCAGTGGGTTTGGTTTTAAAAAAAGAAAGTTAGGGGCAGGAGGGGTGGAGACAGTGCTGGCTGGGTATTGAACCCAGTCATTGGCAAGGTCCTGGTTGAGGAGGACAGAGTCCGCTAGAAGCCTTGGCCAGATGGACAGCAGAAGGCAGACAAGACTGGAGTGAGGGGGCGGGTTGCAGTGCCCAGGTGGAGGCGTGGCCAAGTGGAGACCCCCGTCCCGGGCCAGGTCCTCTGAGAGGCGTGGCCAGACGGGAGGCAGGAACCAGATCCCGAGCCAGTGAGAGGCGAAGGCAGGTGGAGGTGTGGCCAGGTAGGAGGCCGGCTCAGGTGTGGGTGCCGCCTCCCGAGGCCTGCTGGCTCTGGTCGCTCACGCTCCGCCTCCCCTTGCCCCACAGTGACTGGGTTCCCCTACCCCACCACCGGCACAGCGGTGGCCTACCGGGGCGCGCACCTCCGGGGCCGGGGCCGGGCGGTGTACAACACGTTTCGGGCTGCGCCGCCCCCGCCTCCCATCCCAGCTTACGGAGCGTGAGTACCTGCAGGGGCCTGGGGAGGGAGGCCTGGAGAAAGGTCCGGGAGCATGGGCGGCGGGGAGCCTTTCTAGAACCTCCGGGGACTGTGCGCACCCCAGAGCGCAGCACTGCAGCCGCCTCCCCTTGTCGGGCATTCCGGGGGCCCCTGCCCGCCCTCCAGCTCAGCAAGGGCTTTCTCTGCGCCCTCTCCGGTCCGCCTCGTGCGGGCCCCAGGGTCCTCAAGGGCAGGGCGAGGACGGGCTCCACAGCGAAGGGGGCCGAAGCTGCCTGGGGTGGATCGGGGGCAGGGTGAGCGAGGCTGGGGCCGTGGGGCCCCCGCGGTTATGGGAGAGAAGCGCTGACCAGCAAGGTGTTACTCTGTTATACCGAAACAGGGCACTGGAGCAAGCGCTCGTTAAAATGCCGCTCCCCTGGGCAGGGCCGGCCCCGTGCCCCCTGCCGCAGCAGACGCCAGAGCCGGCCTACCCCACCTCTCCAGCGCTCCCACCACTTTCTTGTCCGTTTGCTTCCAGGGTCGTGTATCAGGATGGATTTTACGGTGCTGAGATTTATGTAAGTGGCGCCCCGGGAGGGGAGGGCGGCATCTAGGCGTGTCTTCCCCTGCCCCGCCCCTCTCACCCAAACCTGCTCTGCCATCCGGTGGGTTGGGCTCACAGCGCCCCTAGAGGGCAGAGTGGAACTGCCCACAGGGTTTGCAAAGCTGTCAGTCTTTACGGACGCCAACTGCTTCATCTGATGGGTTTCAGACCTTTCAGTTAGCAGCCAAGCACTTACCCACTGTGCCATCAGAGCTCCTTCCAGATTTAAAGGAGGGGTCCTTGGAACTCAGGCAGAGTGAGGCATGGTAGACACCCATTGCTTGGAGCATTGTGTCTTTGTGGATCTCAAACCAAGAAAACCAAACTCACTGCCAGTGAGTTGATTCCAACTCATAGCGACCCTCTAGGACAGAGTAGAACTTCCCCCATAGGGTTTTTTTTATGGAAGCTGACTGCCTCATCTTTCTCCTGCAGAGTGTCTGTGGGTTCAATCCACCACTCTTGGTTAGCAGCCAAATGCTTTAAGCACTGCGCCACCACAGCTTCTGGGCATCTGTCCTGTCTGCGTCAGAGTAGGGAGCACTGGCCGGGGGGCAGGGCTGTGGGCCTAGCCATGTGCAGAGCCACACACATCAGGGAACCAGTAGTACGGCTCCGATGGACACGTGGACTCGTGAGCAAATGAATCAATGAGTGAGTGAGGTTTCCAGGCGCCACCCCTCACCCATCATCACAGCCACCTGGCAGTCCTCAGACCCCATTAGGCCAGACACCAGCGTCATCCTCCCCAGGCTGAGGGGCAGGTTGTGGGCGGGAGGCCTGGTGTCCGCAGCCCCCAGGGCCCATCTCGGCCTGGCTGAGCCCCACTAAGCCCTCTGCTCCCTTCCTCCCACTCACCTGCAGGGAGGCTATGCAGCCTACAGATACGCTCAGCCCGCAGCAGCCGCCGCCTACAGCGACAGGTGAGGCTTGGGGCTGCAGAGGGGGACACCTCACCTGCCTTCGGGCCTGGGGGTGCTTCCACGTGGTGGGTGCAGGATCCGAAGCAAGGGGAGCAGGTGTGGGTAGAGCTTGAAGACCCCCAGCCTGAGAGTCCCGACTTCTTCAGTCACACCTGGCCAGCCTGCACTACTGGGGGAGGCTGGGGAACCCCGTCCTGGGCTGCAGAGCACTCCTTGGAGCCTCACCCCCAGCTCCAGTGGGGCCCCGTGAGCTGGGAGGAGGGAGGGACAGAGCGCCTGCGGGCTTCCCGGGTGGGCAGTGGGCACTGCAGAAAGCAGCTAGCACTTGCCCTGCTGTGAGCACGCCCAAAAGGCAGGCACCTGGAGGGCAGTCCCCCAGTGTCCCGTGTGAGCTGGCTGAGCCCAGCACCTTTCTCCTTGGGAACTTGAGTTCCTCTTTGGGGCTGTGGGGTGGGAGATTGGTGGAATCACCGTGTCAGGCACCTGACAGGCACCTCATCTTGTCCGAGGCGCCTCTCCAGGCCTGGGACCACCCAGTGGCCAATGAGACCCTCCCACACACACTTCCTGTACCCTTTCTCCCTCGCTCCTCACCTGTGAGAGGTGGACAGGGCCCTGCCCAGCCTGCCATCTAAGAAGTTGATTGGATGAATTAGGGGAGAGGAGGGTCACCAGGGGGTATGAGGACTACCCCCTTTGTGCCACGCCCCACACCGGGGCCTTCTCCCCTTCTCTCAAGCCCTTTTCTGAGCACTGTGGTTGATCTGCCCCCCAAACATGCCCTCCCGGGGTGCCCCTTCTCTGTCCCATGCAGCACGAGTCTAAAGTAGGACCCTTGTGAGTGGTGGCACAGCCTGGGCAGGTTGGTAGGTTCCAGACACTTCCTTCCACATGGGCAGGAAGGACTGGCCAGGAGGAGACCATACTTGGTGAGGGTGGGAGGCCACTGCTGCCCCTCACCTGCCTCCCTCCTGCCCCCGCCTCCCATCTCTCCCCCAGTTACGGCAGAGTGTACGCCACCGCTGACCCCTACCATCACACTGTCGGCCCCGCAGCGACCTACAGCATCGGAACCATGGTAAGGAGTCCAGCCTGGGTCCCGCACACCTGGGGCCAGGGCTGCGAAAGGGGTACAGCATAGCTGGGGGTATGGGGCCCAGTGAGAGAGAGAGTCCCCTGCCCAGGTCAGGGTTGGGTCCTCACTGTGCCAACTGGACCCAGGTATGCAACGGTTGGGGAGGTATCCTAGACTGAACTCCGAAACTTAAAATCCTGCCCCACCCCATTCCCATGGCCAAAGAAGCCACCTGTTGTTGCGGCTGATGCTATGGAGAGACCCAGCCCCCCATCTCTCTCTCTTCTGTTCCCGTCCCTCCAGACTGTACCTTCTCCCACATCAGAGAACTAGGGCCCCCCTCCATACTTCCCCAGCCCCCCACACCAGGCTCCCAGACCGGGCCAGGCAGGCACACCCACGGGGGAGTGGAGCTTGGTCCCAGTACAGGGATGGGCTCAGGCAAGCAGTGCGCTGATGTGGAAACGGGGCTCACTGCCGAGGGGTGCGGGCCAGCGTGTCTGTGTGTGTGTATGTGTATGGCCGGCTGTCGACTCTGTACCCCAGCATCTCCTCCCCGTGGGCACTGCCCCCTGCGTTCACTCAACCAACCGATAAGTGTCCATGTTGGTTTTCAGCTAGCGTGGCATCCAGCATCAAAGATGAAAACGCTTTGGGGGGCAGGGAGGGAGGCGGCCAGTGTGGACCTTCCCAGCCCTGGGCTTCAGTGAGCCCTCCCTGTGCCTGTGTTTCTCCGGGGTTCTTGTACACTCCCCTTGGGCAGCCAGGGCGACTGCTGGTCCTGCACCCCACGGATGGCGGTCACTATCCAGAGGCCCTGGCGCCTACCAGCAGCCAAACTTCCGTCAGCTCATAGAGGCTCCCCTTGTGTTTTCACTTTTTAAGATTCTCTGCCCCACCCCCCCACTTTTCCCCTCTTGCCGTTGCCACTTTCTTCCCTGTCGGGGCAGAACTGGTGGGCACGGTGGTGGGCTCCTTGACCGGAGCTGAGGGGCAGGGAAGGAGAGCCGGACCCCCAAGAGTCGTCCTCTGCAGGAAGGGAGGCTGAAGCTGGGCCTGTGGACCACCCCCAGTGGGAGCTCCGCGGGCTGTGCCTGGGGAGCCGGTTTGGCCGCCCAGGCTCTTGGACAGAGGCTGTCTGCCGGGTTGGATCTGCCCTTGCCCAGCCCCCTGGGTGGTAACCTCCTCCACTAAGGGGAAGGAGAAGCCCAGGGGTGGCCAGCCCTGGGTGGAGAGAAGACCCCGGACAGAGGTCGGAAGCCCTGATGGGCTTCCCCAGAGCGCCCCTCCCGGTCCAGCACCACCACCAGCTCAGCGCCAGGGCCTCAGAGGGGCGTGGCCACGACAGCTCGTGGCCCGCTGTCCCCCCAGGAAAAGGCAAAGGGGAGAAGACAGGGCTCAGCGGCCCCTCCGCCTGCTTTTCTTTCCTTTTTCCTTTTGGCTTTGCCCCTCCCACGGGCGGCACTGATTGGCTGTTTTTCATCTTTGATTGCCCCTCCCACAGGGCGGCACTGATTGGCTGTTTTTCATCTTTGATGTTGCAGGCTAGCCTCTGCCGAGGAGGGTACAGCCGCTTCACCCCCTACTAGCAAGAGACCCGCCCCTAACAGCATTCACACAAACAAACCCAAACACCAGGCTCGCCCGCCCACGCGGACAGTGCGCCCTCGGGGCCAGCCACTCCCACCGCTGCCCTCGGACGCTAGACCCTAGGGTCCCTCTCCAGCCAGCTGGCTCCCCGCCCTGCCCACGACGGTGTGTGTGTCCCTGGCCTGGTTGTTCCTGTGTGTCTGAAACCCTAGTGTCCTCCTTTGACTTGGTCGGTGGGGTGCAACCCAAACCCACTCCAGGTACAGTATGCGCACATAGGGCCAGGCGGGTGGCCTGAGCCCCCGAGGGCAGTCCCCTCAGGTTTAGGGATAATCTGGCGTGGTGTGGTTGGGGGGTGCCCAGGATCCACAGAGGCACAGGAGACTAGCCCAGGCCCAGGGCTCTCGATGCACCCTTCCCTGGATGCCATCCACGGCCAGCCGGCCCTCGACATAGCTCCCTGCCCCTAGTGCACATGCCCTCCACAGGGTCTCCCTCCACCCATTCATCGCAGGAGGAGCCCTGGCCCGGCCCCCTCCCGGCCCTTCATTCAGCTGCAACCAGGATTTTTTATTAAATTTTATTGATGATGTTGCCTGCGGAAGTGGTCACAGCACATGAAGCAGGGTGGAAACGCCCCTGGTTGCCCCCAGCCCCAGGTCCAGTAGTGGGCCTGCCCAGGCACCCCACAGCCCCCCCAAGCTGTCTTCACTTGGCCACCGAAGAGCAAGGCCCAATCGGCCCTCCTGCCCCCACCAGCCCCTGCCCTACTGAGCCTGACCCTAGAGGGACCCAGGCCCGCCTCACCCTGAACACCTCCATGTCCCTGAGCGCATTCCGGAAGGGCTTCTCCGGAGGGGCCTTTCAGAAGGGAACCTCGGCGGGCAGGTGACCCCTCCCCTGGGCCTCTGAGCAGGACCACCCGCTCACTGTACGGAGCCCCCAGCCCCGGCCTCCCCCCAGATGGGTCTGGGCGGTGCTGGGGGCCACAGGCCAATCACCAGACCCCCCGAGGGGAGAGTGCAGGAGCCGGCGGGGTCCCTGGGTGCTGTCCCTGGGCCCCTACTGCAGGTCAGGGGGCAGCTAGGCAGTCCTGCCTCCTGCTGTGTAAGCTGGGCTCCTGGGCGGCTGGCTGAGGGTGCGGCTCCCTGTAGCAGGGGTGCAGCCGTGCCACCCGATGCCAGGAACTGGGCTGACAGACCCTGCCCAGGCTGCTCCCTCCCCCCCACTCCCCCTGCCACCCCGGGCCGGGCGGGCCTCAGGGCTGAAGCAGCCCGGCGCCCACCACATTGTCCTGACCGCTGCCGGTCCAGGACCGTCAAGGCCCAGTCCACTTGCCTGTTAGGAGCCAGGGCGCTCCTGGGACGCCAGGCTCACTGTGTCCCTAATACACCAGCCCTGGAAGGATGGGCGCCTGCCCTAAACCCGGCTGCAGGACAGTGCGCATTCCCGGGGTGGGGCAGGCTCGGAGGGCGCCGGGGCCGCGGAGGGCGCTGGGGCCGCGGGCTCGCCTCGCCCCTGACGCCCCCCAGTCGCTTTTGTGAAACAGCAAGTCCTGCCTTTTTTTTTTTTTTTTTTTTTTTAATTGTAGTGAAAGCTTCCGCCATTTCCTTCTTGGACCATGAAGGGCAAAAACAAAAACAAAAAACAAAAAAAAAATCACAAAACAACACAAAAAACAAAAACAAAAAGATGTTACAATTCAAGCAACCGATCAACCGACCAAACCCAGAGGCACCAGGCATCTCCGAGGGCAGCGCCGCGGCACCGAGGGAGCGCGGCCAGCAGGAGGCGCTGTGCCGCCGCCGCCGCACGGATGGAGAGGCGCTCGCCGGCCCGCGGTCCCGTCGCTGCGCCGCCGGCGTCCGAAGCCCCCTCTCGACCCAGGCAGCGGTGGAGAGTTGGAGGGGCGGGGGGCTCCGTTTTCTATCAAGTCTTCCTTTCCGTGGACTCCGCTTCCGGGCAGCGTGGGCCTGCGCAGAGGGGTGGCCCGCCGTGCAGCCACAGGCGGGGCGGGCCGGGAGCGGAGGTGGGGCCGGGCTGCCTGCCCTCCACGCGGGCACTGCGCTGGCCTGCGCCTTGCACCCGTGTCTCATGCCCGGGCCCAGCCCCCATACCGAGCCCCCGAGTCCCTGCCCTGCGGGGGTTGCAGGCTCCCGGGGAGGGAGCGTGGGCTCCTGGAGGCTGGCGGCCCTGGGGTGGGGGTGGCCTCTGCACAAGGGCTGACGGGGTACCAGAACCAGGGGCCCCACCCGCTGCTCCCCGCGTGAGGGCACGGGCTGCAGAGCAGACGCAGCTGGGCCAGGACCGGGCCTAGGAGCGCGGAAGCGGGGGGCCTGGGGTCCGGGCCCCCTCCTCTGGGCGTTTTCCTTTCTGGTTTTGGTCCTGGGAGAGGGGAGAGGGCCAGGCCCAGACCTTGGAGGCCCCAGGCTTGGGGCTCGGCTCAGGCCCAGGGCAGCCTGGGGGCGGCAGGAGCAAGCAGGGCAGTGGGAACACTCAGGCCAGCCGGGGGGGAGGGGGGGGAGGCTGGGGTCGGGGTCTCGGTGCTATGGATCAGAGCAGGGACCCCAGACAGAGCACAGGGGTGCCAGCGTGGGAGGGGAGGGGAGGGCCTGGGCTGCCCTGTCCCGCACGGGTGAAGCTCGCTGGCCAGGCCTCTGGGGAGAACTAGTCCCCCCAGACGAAAGGACCAGAGGGAAAGGTCAGGGAGGTGCCCCTGGCAGAGAAGGGACAGCTGAAGGAGGGGAGGCAGCAAAAATCGAGGAAAATCAAAACATACATCGTCTCCCAACATGACCAACCGTGTCACGAAGCTTCCAGTGTCAAAGAACACGCCTCACTTTGTAGCCAGCGTTAGACCGCAGCTCCCCACCTAAGGCCACCTTTTCTATGCCCAGTGTACATAGACCCGGCCCCCAGGCCCGACCTCTGTACAAAGCCGCTGGCCACTGCTGTGCCAGACCTTCCGCAGCAGCGCCGCACCCCACCGTGTCCCCAGGACCGCAGCCACCGGCTCCCTTTCTTACCATCCCGTATGCTTCCAAGGCGTGACCGTTCAATCAGCAGTACAAGTATTACGGTTATTAATAAAGATTTCTTTCTTCAAACCAGGATGGCTCTTAGATTTGGGCAGTTCCTGGGCACAGAGGGTGGTCAGGGCCAAGGGCACACACAGGCCTGACCCCCCACCAGAGCCAGGTGGCAAAACTGTCAGGAAACCCCGCCCCCCAGGCCCCAGATGTAAGGTGCCCATTCTACCCTCCAAGCAGCTCCTCCCCCGCCCTCCCAGGTCAGGCGCACAGGTGAAGACCCCTGCAGCCACCAGCAGCTGTGGCCAGTGCAATGGAAGGCTGAAAAGGACAGAGTGGGGGCGGGAAGGGAGAACCTCTGTGGGGGTCTGGCCGGTGCCCAGGCAGGCAGGGTCTCTCAGATCCACACGCCCCTCTGCAGTTGCAGCCAAGGAGCTGAGACGCTGCTGTGCCCAAGGTAACTCCATTTCCTCCGCCACCCTGTCCGCGCCCCATGCTCCAGGGAGGGTGGGCAGTGACCCATATCCTGCAGAGGTTGGGGTGTAGGAGGGGGCCTTACAGGGGACGGCAGACCTCAGTCTGTGAGTCAGAAAGCCTGGGGTTCAGAGGCTGCGACGGGACCGAGACCCCAAAGACAGCAGAGCACCCCATCCAGAGCCCAGGTCTCCGTTACTCGTGCTGTTGGGTCATTTATCTGAGTGGTGACACCTGTGAGAGGGGCCCCGGCCTAAGTGCCCAATATTAATTTCCTTGCACGGGCCTTTGTTGTTGATGGGGCTGGGGACCGAGCTTTCAGGGAGTTGGAGTTGTGCGGTTCTGTGCCAACCTCTGCTCAGCCCCCGACTTGTAATTGCTTGCTCACCAGACTGTGAGACAGTAATTGCCACTATAAATTTTCTCTCCACCGCTAAAGTATTCGTGGGACTAGCACTAAAAAAAACAAAAACAAAAAGCCTCTGAAACAAGAGAAGCTGGCATCATCACTTTACTGCACTGTGTGGGTCAGACCACCAGCCCCCACCTCCGGAGACCCGGTGTGGGGCGGGAGACGCAGCCCTCCTAGTTCAAAGAGCGCCAGAGAATTTTCAGAACCAAAGCCCAGGGTTTTGAACCCATTCTGTCATGGCCAATGAAGCAAACTTGGAACGGACTGAATTTTCAAAATTGGGTTGAAGCAGAATGCTAACCGGAACAGGAAAAACGATGAGTCGGAGCCCAGGGATGGGAGACTCAGAAGCATCACAGGAATTGAGCCCTTTCAGGAGCCCGATGCGGGAGACTGGGTTACTGCCAGGTGTGTGGAAAGTGACACACATTCAAAGCAATGCTGTTGACCACCATCCGTGAGCCAGGCACAGCTGTTTCCAACTCTGCCGGTCAAGAGTTCTGTTTGCTATGCAGTGCACACACTGCCCTTGTTTTTCTAGGAGGGAGATTAAGTTTTTAGTAGGGAATCGACCCATATTTTTTTCTGTTCCAATCAGCATTCCAGTCCACCCACATTTTAAATATTTGAGTCCATCCTGCTTTCACTTCATTGGCCATGACTGAACTGGACAGAACTGGTTAGAAGCCCTGAGGAAAACACAAAGTGGAGGAAGTACTTCCAAGAGTTACGTATCTCCCCACCACCCCCTTCCCACACACGCACGCGGAATGTTACACGGAGCATCTAGACTCAGGAGGAACCCTGGGGTTCGGGTGGCCTTGGTTTGGAGTCTGTGAAGGGTCAACTCTGGTGCTGGGAGCCGCTGGGCTGATCATGTGCGTGAGAACGGAGGGGTCTCAGGAAGAAAGAAGATAAGACACCCAAGTGTGCATGGATCCGAGACACCCGGGCTGCCTGCCCATTGCACAGCTCGGGGAGGAGGCCCAGGAGGTCCTGGGAGAGCAGAAAGGTGGAGACACAGGCCAATGCCAGGCCCTGGAGGGGGCACTCCCCCACCCCTGCAAGGCACCAAAGCAGCTTAGGAGTTTTCCAGAAATAGCCCACCAAAGGACCACCCACTGCAGACAGAGGACTGGACAGGCAGGTGGCCACCTGGTGGCAGCCCCCATTACTACAGGGAGTGAGTCCCTTGCTGGGCCCAGGAGCTCTCGCTACCTAAATCATCAGTTTCAGCCCACCATCTGGTCCGGAGGAGAAAAACGTGGCATCCACTTCCATGAAGACTGCTGCTGTTGTCAGCGACCCCACGTACAAAGGAATGAAAGCACTGCCCGGTCCCACGCCACCCTCACAGCCACTGCCCTTTAAGCTCATGTGGCAGCCACTCTGTGAAATCGTCTCATTAAGGGTCTTCCTTTTTTCACTGACCCTCTTTTTAACAACTGTGATGTCCTTGTCCAGAGAGGCTGGTCCCTCCTGATAACATGAGCAAAGGACAGGAGACCAAGTCTCCTTCCTCGCTTGCAGGAAGCATTCCGGCCACACTTACTCCAAGACAGTGCCATTCATTTTCTGGCAGCCCGTGGCGTGTTCAGTATTCTTCGCCAACACCGTAATTCAAAGGCACCTATTCTTCAGTTTTCCTTGTTCACTGCCCAGCTGTCACATGCATGGGAGGCAACTGAAAACACCACGGCTTGGGTGGGTGCACTTTAGTCCTCAAAGTGCCGTCTCTGCTTTTGGATACTACAGAGAGGTCTTTTGCAGCGGATTTGCCCAGGGCAATACGATGGCTGGTTTCTTGACTCCTACTTCCGTGGGTGTTGCTTGTGTATCCAAGTAAAATGAAATCCCTGACAACCTCAACATTTCCTCCGTTGTTAGTACTGTTACTTACTGGTCCAGTCGTAAGGATTTTTGTTTTCTTTGTCTTGAGGTGTGATCCATACTGAAGGCTAATCTTTGATCTTCATCAGTAAGTGCTTCAAGTCCTCTTCATTTTCCAGCAAGCAAAGTTGTGTCATCAGCTATCGCAGGTTGTTAATGAGTCCCTCCAATCCTGATGCCACATTCTTCTGCATATAGTCCAGCTTCTCGGATTATGTGTTCAGCATGCAGACTGAGGAAGTGTGGGGGAAGGATACAGCCCTGACGCACCCCCTTCCTGATTTTAACCCCCGTAGTACCCCCCTGTTCTGCTGGAACAGCGGCCTCCTGGTCTATGTCCAGGTTCCTCACGAGCATAGGAAGTGTCGGGAGCTCCCCTTCTTCTCAGTATGACCTGTGACTCGTTAAACCCACACAATGGGACTGCTCTGCAGTCAGTGAAACCCTACGGGGCCATTCTTTCAGGTGGGGTCGCTGTGAAAACCGACTCGACAGCACCCAACAGCAGCTGGGAACATGGTGGCCCTGACTCGTAACAACGGCCTGTCCATCAGCCCAGAGTGTCCTGTCTCACAGGCCCATGTGGCCTGGGGCTGAGACCTCAACAGTGTGGCCCTCAAGGTCTCTCTGTCCAAGGGTTACAGGCCCTCCAGGCCCTCAGAGGAGACTTAGGACATGTGTCAGGGTGGCCCAGCCGTGAGGTCCAGAGCCCACTTAAGGTGTCCAGGCCACGGAATGTGGCCCCATGTTAGGGTGGCCCAGCCGTGGGGTCCGGAGCCCCCATTGGTGGCCTGGTGTGGGGTCTGGCTCTGTGTCAGGGTGCCCCCTCTGCTGTCCTGCCTCATCCTCCAAGGCCCCCCTGGGGCCAGCACTCGTCCCTAAGTGTCCATTCCAAGGGATGAGAGCAGGTCCTCAGCCTCAGGGCAGGCTTCCAGCCTCCCAGGAAATGCCCTCTGTGGGCCGTTCGGGACTACACTCGCCCGACTCCCTGAACTTCCACCTTGGAACTGTATACCAGGGGGAGAGTTCAGACAAAAGCAGGGCCCATCCGCCTCAGGCGACGACCAGCCCAGCCCGCCACTTCTCCGTCACCGATGACCCACGACAGGCGTACCCGCCCACAGGCCCGGCTGGCAGGAAGGACAAAGACCTGAACTTGCAGCAGAGACCACCATGTTTAATGCCCAGCACGTGCAGGGGCGGTGTAGAGCAGGGTCGCCCGTCCCCACTCGGCCTGCGGCACTGAGAACCCCTCCCTGGGGCCGGGCTGCACCAGGAACTCTACACGGCCGTCCTGGCCAGGCTCCGCGGCAGCCACCGCCAAGTCCACGACACGGTACTGGTTGGTGAAAGCCAGGCCCAGGAGGGCTGGTTTCTCCAGGCCTGGTGGCTCCCCACCTCGAGGGCCGTGCCCCGGCCCCCTCCAGCAGTGGATCCGGAAGCAGCGGACTTGGGAGAACGGGTAGGCCCAGTGCAGGGTGCAGCTGAGTCGGAGCTGTGTGGGAGCAGGGGGACCCCCAGGCTCAGAGGCGACCGGCTGCCAGCGGACGTGGGAGATGGTGACAGCCTGCACCTGCGGCAGGGGGTTCAGCAGGCTCTTGGCGTCCACCACCTGGCAAAAGAGGGTGGCTCAGCGCAGGGGCACAGGGTCCCACGCCCTGCCTGAGTCCTCCACACCAGGAGAGAAAGCAGGCAGCGGGGCTCAGCCCCACGCAGCATGAGACCCCCCTCAGCCCTGGGTCCCGAGAAAGCGTCACCTGGATCTCCCCAAGGCGGCAGACGAAGGTCTCCTCCTGGCGGCTGCCCGAGGGGCGAAAGAAGCTGACAAAAAGGTCCTGCAGCAGGCAGTCCCGCAAGGTCACCTCGTAGCAGCTGTGAAGAGAGGGGCCCGGTCACGGTGGGGAGGGGGCATCCACGTCTACGGAGGGAGGTGGCCCGGTCACGGGGCGAGAGGGAGGCCCACCCTGACCTGGACGGCTCACGAGGAAAGGCACCTGAGCGCCCTGTGCTCAGGCAGAATTCTCGGTGCAAAGGGACGCTGGGCAACGGGCCCTGTCCTCAGGCAGGGTTCTCGGGGGGCAAGGGGACACTGGGCAGTGGGTCCTGTCCTCAGGCAGGGTTCTCGGGGGGCAAGGGGATGCTGGGCAGTGGGCCCTGTCCTCAGGCAGGGTTCTCGGTGCAAAGGGACTCTGGGCAGTGGGCCCTGTCCTCAGGCAGGGTTCTCGGGGGGCAAAGGGACGCTGGGCAGTGGGCCCTGTCCTCAGGCAGTGTTCTCGCGGAGGCAAGGGGACCCTGGGCCACAGGGAGCCCAGGCCCCCTCCTGCCAGCTCTGGGAGACCCTCACCCCCTGACGCCCGCCACCCTGGCATGAGCACGCAGCAGGATCGGGGCACTCACCGCTGGACCCAGCCCCCTCTGAGCGGCTGGCCACATCGGCCGGCCCACCTAGCCAGCTTGGTGGGGGGCACCCGGAGGAGCCGAGCACTGTGCCTCCAGTGGCTTGTCTCTGCTGGGGGAGGACACGGGCCAGTTCAGGCTGCAGCCAGACCCCAAGGAGGAAAGAGCCCCAGAGGGCTGCATGGGCGAGGGGACCTCTGGGCCAGGGCCCCTGTGCTCAGGCAGGATCTTGGGGGACGAGGGGACCCCTGGGCACGGGCCCCTGTGCTCAGGCAGGATCTTGGGGGACGAGGGGACCCCTGGGACGGGCCCCTGTGCTCAGGCAGGATCTTGGGGGACGAGGGGACCCCTGGGCCACGGGCCCTGTGTTCAGGCAGGATCTTGACAGGTGAGGGGACCCTGGCAGTGGGCCCTGTGCTCAGACAGGATCCTCGGGGGGCAATGGGCAGCTCAGGGAGGACTTTACAGAGTCCGGAGCTTGTGCCCCAGTAAGGGCCCTGAAGCCCAGAGGCGCATGCAGGCGACCTCCGCAGAGTGGGGAAAGGACGGACCACGTCTAAGGCTGGTGACCTCTTGCTCCAGCCTGGGCCCTCCTCAGCTGCTACCCCTCACGCTCCCTGCTCATCTCACATGTGACACTCAGGCCCAGGAGGCCCTTTCTGATCTGGGCACAGCCCCCGTCTAGGAGGCCATGGCCGCTGCTGGTGGAGGCCTCAGAGCACAAGGGGTGGGTCAGCAGAGAAGCGGCCTCTCCAGGCCTCGGCCGCAGCTGCTCTGACCCCAGGAAGGCAGAGTTAGACCGCCCTGTCCACACAGTCCCACAGTCCCCACACCCAGTGCGTCTCCCCGGACTTGAAGGGGTCCCCAAGCAGCAGAACAGAGCCGCAAGGAGCGAGGCTCTCCTCACCGTTCAGTGTCGAGATGCCACCGATGTGACAGTTGCCGGTGTCCCCCGTGCCGAGCTCCAAGGCCACTGTGACGGCCGAGGGTCCTTCAAGTTTATACACCAGGGACAGGAAAACCTTGTGTAGCACTGGGACCTGCAGGGAAAACAGCCTGGAGGAAGCAGGGCCACGTGAGAGGCCGAGTCACCCCCAAGTCTCCCCCTTCCCCCCAGAAACGGGGTGTCCGCCCATGCCTTGATCCCGCGCCGGGAGCCCTGGGGCTGTCTGGTGCCCCACGTGCCCATCGACACGGAACGAGGGGGAATGCTGACCGTGCCCACACCTCTCACCCCATCACTCACCTACCTCACAGCTACGTGTCCCACCTCGGGGGGCATAACCCCCCGGATGAGTAGGGAGCTGCCCCCGTTCCAGGCATCAGCCAGGCAGCAGTGGGTCTTCACCCAGCCCTGGCTGTCCCCCTCAAGCCGGTGCTCCCCAAACAAGGGCTGCAGCTCCTGGGCGCTGAGGTGGTACCAGGGTCCCGCCGCCGCCTCCTAAGTCAAAAGGCAGAGGTGGGTGGAGACTCGCTGGCAGCCAACAGGCAGAGCAGGCACCACACGGTGGGACGGCCAGACCACGCCCCGTCCTACCCCAGGCCCGACCCAGCCCCTCTGAGGCCACCGACCCCACGTCAAGCCGGCACCTTGGCCAGGGTGCGGCACAGCCAGACAGCTGCTGCCAACAGAGCAGTGCAGGGCGGCCACACACCTGTCCGTAGCAGACCCGTCGCGTCCCCAGGCCCAGGCAGAAAGACGTGACGAAGGGCAAGGAACAGATGCTGTGAGTGGGCAGGTAGCGTCCCAGCAAACCCCAGAACCTGCAGAGAAGGTGCAGCCAACTGCTGGGCCCAGGGGCTTACCAGCACCCCGAGCGCGCTCCCTGTGCCTCGCGGGGATCCCTCTCAGCCACCCTCCCAGCGTGGAGCGCACTTCGCCGCCACGTGCGGGCGCAGAGACTGTCTGAAGGAAGGGCCCTCCGCTCCCCTACCTGCGGGCTTTCCTGCCTAACTGGTCCCAAGACATGCCCCCGGAAGACAGCGAGGGGGTGGCTTTCTCATCAGCCCAGACCCCTCCTCTGCCCTGGAGAGGGTCGGAGAGCAAGACCCCGACCTACTGTAAGAATCCAGAAACTTCTGCGGCCCTTCCCGCCCCCAGCCACTGAACCAGCCCCGCCGCGCCCCCTCCACCCCCGCCACGCTGAACCCTCCGAAGGGCCGACGCACTTGTCCTCGTTCTGGAAGAACTCAGTCTTCTCCAAGCACTCGTACACCCAGCCGGGGGCAAACAGGGCCGCCGAGAACCCGTGCTTTCGGATCACCTCCAGCGACTGAGGACAGAGAAGTCAAGATCTCTAGCCTGCACTGCACGCCTGTGATACGGGGCCGCAGTGCAGCTTACAGACTCCCCGCCTCCTAAGCCCGTTTGCTGCTGTCGGGTGCTGCCGTCCAGCCAGCTCCCGACTCATGGTGACCCCCCAGGCACAACGCAACGAAGCCCCGCCCAGCTCTGCATCCCTGCGCTCCTCCGGGGCCAGGCTGTGGGGACCCGGAAGGCTTTCAGCAGCTGGCTTTCGGGGGAAAGCCATCAGGCCTCTCATCCTAGCTGCAGTCTGTTCAGCATCGCAGCGACTCGCATCCGCTGACACAACGGCAGGGGCTGCACAAGAAGCCTTGCCAGGAATCGAACCCAGGCCCCCTGCACGGAAGACCCGAATCCTACCACAGAGCCACGCTGCCTCCTGCCAGCCTCCATGAAGTCGGCTCTGGCTCACGCTGACCCCACAGACGTCAAAGCAGAACTGTCGTCCAAAGGGTTCTCAGCGCCTGACTTTTCAGGATACCAGACCTGTCTTCCAGACCGCCTCTGGGCAGACTTGAACTTCCAACCTTTTGCTTAGCAGACAAGTGTGTTAACCTTTGCACCGTCAAGTGCGGTGGGGCGAGTTCAGACTCGAGGCAAACCCATTTAACAGCTCTTCATGCTTCGTAAGGAGCTCTGGTGGCTTAGTGGTTAAAGCATTTGGCTGCTAACCAAAAGGTTGGTTGTTCAAACCCACCAGCTACCCCAGCAGGAGAAAGATGAGGCTGGATGCTTCCATAAGGATTACAGCCTTGGAAACCCTTATGGAGAAGTTCCCCTCCACCCTAAGAGGTCAACGTGAATCATTATCAATCCAACGGCAGTGGGTTTGGTTTGGTTTGATTGGGTGCTCTGGTGGCACAGTGCCTAAGGCATTTGACAGCTACCCAGAAGGCTGGAGGTTCAAACCCACCAGCCACTCCTCAGAAGGAAGGTTGGGCAATCTACCTCCATAGAGATACCACCTCAGAAACCCAAGGAGGGGTCGCTGTGAGTCAGATCCAACTCCAAAGCAGAGAGTTTGGTTTCGGTTTAGGTTACTCATTACCCCTGCAGTCCACAAACTGGCCAGGAGAGGGCGCCATGCGGGCAGCAGGAAGAGGTGCCAAGGAAGACTGAGGGCCGGGAGGTAAGGGTGCTACTCAACCCACATCTCCCCCTTCCCCCAAGTACATCTCCAGAATCACAGGGGTGCCGAGAATCCTCAGTTACCGGGTTAATTTATTCACGTAAAGCTTCATTGCTAACAGAGAGCCTTCCTCGGGCACTGGAGGCAGGACTGACAGCCCACCCAGGAGGTGGGAGGACTGTTGAGCCCAACCAGGTGTATCGGCCCAGGCACCCCTCCTTCCTCGTGGATGACATACATGGCTTGTCCTGCCAGGGAAACCTTGTACTGATTAAAGCAGAAGCCCACAGCAGCGGCTGCTGTACTCTGGTCCTTCCCCACTGAGCTGCCTGGGAAGAGCCGCGACAGACACTGGTGGTCCCCAAGCCTGAGACCCCTAGTGGTGCAGCTTTCCATCAACTGTTAACCCGAAGGTCAGCAGTCTAAACCCAGCCAGTGGTGGTGCAGAAGGCGGGCCTAGTAGTCTGGTCTGTAAAGATCACGGCCAAGAGCATCTATGGAATAGTTTTGTGTAGCAGGGTCGCCATGAGTTGGGACCCACTCGATGGCAAGGGTTTGGGGTTTTTTCGGTTCCCCAGCACCCCCCCCCCGAGAGCTCTGTCGGCACAGTGGTTAAAGCACTCATCTGCCAACTGGAAGATGGAGAGTTTGAACCCAGCATACACTCCACAGGAGAAAGATGTGGCAGTCTGCTTCCGTAAAGACTGCTGACACCTTGGAAACCCCGTGGGGCAGTTCACTCAGTCCTGCAGAACTGTGAGTGGCCGTGAACGGACCCACCGAGAGTGGGTTTGTTTTCTATGACGCCCACCCTGATGGCTTAAGATGTTATCTCAATGCTCTTAAAGAGCCCAAAAAGGCTGCCCAAGCCGGCAGAAGAGGAAGGGCAGGCGGGATCAGGCGCTCCATTACCACCTACATAAAAGCGGGCCACCTGACTGCAGGGAGGGACGCAAGGCGTCTAGTTAGGAAGCTCCTGGCCTCGGGTGACTCCCCAGCGTTTCAGTGCCTCGGTCCCCCTGGTCACTGCCACCCCTTTCCCTGGAGGTGGAGATGCCAGCAGGCAGTGCCCACCTTGTCTGTGTCGAAGCGGCCCCCAACGACGTTGCCACGGGCAAACACGTCCACCCCCACGTACACGTCCGCGCGGCGCCCCCCGGCATGTGCCACCATCCGCTCCAGGTGCTCCTCCCGCCAGTTGTAGTTGGTGAAGAAGCCGTCACACGCCTGGAAGAAGGCCCTGGAGGTGGCAGGAGCCCGTGAGGCTGGCGGGCGGGTCTCCCAGCAGCTCCTGCCCCACCCTCGGGTCCCCTGCTTCCGCTGCTGCCTCCAGGGTCCCTCCCTGACCCGCTGTCAGTACTCCTGCCCGGACAGGGATCCAGGTCCAGTGCCCTTGGCAGTCCCCACACTGGGCAACCCTATGCCTCCTGGCTTTCCTCCCCGAAAGCAGTCACATGCAAAAGGCCTCTAGGAGACTGGCCGTGCACCCTTCTCGCCCCTGCCTGCACCTGCGAGCTTCCAGGGTGAACTCCGGCGTGAACACCTCCGGGAGACTGGGGTCTTCTCTGGCCTGCCTGCACCCAGTGGGGCTCCCCGTGTGAACGCCTCCAGGAGACCATGGTTGCACCCCCTTCTCCCCGCCGTGGGGCTCACCCGTTCTCCTCGTTGAGTTCGTCTTGCCACTTGAGCTCCCCACTGCGCACCACGCTGTCATACCACAGCACCAGGCCCCCTGGCACCACCCGGTGCAGTTCCGAGGTCAGGTACCGGAGGAACGGCGGCAGGTTGCCCACCGCGGCCAGCTGGGGAGGGAACGTGACAGGACACTCAGCCCAGACATGTCCTTAGCTTGGCTGGGGTCATGCAGACCCTGGTGCAGGGCAGGTGGGAGGACACTGAGGTAAGCCCAAGAGTAAAGAGCCCCAGAAAAAAAGCCCTCGTGACCAGGGCCCCAACTCCAGAGCACTAAAGCCAGCCCTGAGCACGACCCACGGCAAGGGATGGGGTACAGCGGACCAGAGCCGCAGCGGGGCACAGAGCTAGGAGGAGGAGGCCACTGACCTGGCCGAGCAAAGCAGAGATGGACGAGGAGGGAAGGGACACGCCAGCGCTCAGCCAGGCGAGGGTTCTGCCCCCACAGCTACCGAGGTGCCAAGCCCCCCGGGAACCCTGGAGGAGTGGCTCCGACTGTTGGCGCTGGAGCTGGACGGCGAGGCCCAGGACCGGGTGGGACAGACGGTACTGGAGTAAGGCAGGGGCCCAAGGGCAAGGCGGTGCTCACACTTAGGGCATTCTCGATGTTGATGAGCCAGCCGTCGAAGCGGAAAAACTGGGCCATGCGGACCAGCTGCTCAGCCACGGCCTGGTAGGAGCGCTCGTCCCCCGCCAGGAAGGCTTCACACAGCTTCTTGCCCGCACTCCACTCGGTGATGAACGTCCCTGGAGGGAGGACGGGAGGTCAGGGCTGACACCCTCGGCCCCGGCGGTTCCCAGGGAGGAACCTGAACCTCGGTGGACGCTCCCGTTCTAGGCCACCCAGAGATCTGGGACCCCACAGTCGGAGCTGCAAAGCGCCCCCTAGTGGCACTGCTGTAGGCTGGCGTCCTGGAGCACTGGTGTAACGCTGGGGCCACACCCACCACCTGGTCTCATAAACGTTATGTGCCATCGAGCCGGACCTGACTCATAGCGACCCCTCCTTGGGTTTCCGAGGCAGTATTACAACGGAAGTAGATTGCCCCGTCTTCCTTCCGAGGAGCGGCTGGTGGGTTTGAACTGCCAGCCTTCTGGTTAGCAGTCAAGTGCCTTAGCCACTATGCTACCAGAACTCCTGGTTTCATTAACGGAAACACCACCAGTAAAACCAGTTGCCTTGCGTCCACTCTGCATGTCAGCGCAGAGCTCTGGTGAGTGGTCAATGCCTGCTGTCTGGAAACACTTCCAGGCCTCTCCTCCGAGACGCCTCTGGGCGCACCCCAGCCCCCAGCCTCTCAGTGGACACTGGACACGTCATACCCGTGTTTTATCGTCTGTGACTACTTTGCACTATTAGGGCAGCAACTGACCGAATGGCCCACAAAGCTGGAAGTATTTATGGTCTGGTTCTTCCCAGACAAGTGCCAACACCTGTGCCATCTGATAAGAGTTCTCTGCTCACCTAGACCATTCCTCCCTCCACTGGTCTCCAGGCCACCTGCTCACCAACAGGCAGGTCCCCGGGCCGCCTGCAAGACTGCTAAAGGATGTGGCTGGCTGAGAGCTAGCCCGGGCCTTACCCAGCACACACACCCCGTGCCTGTGGGCAGCGTTGGTCCAGCCCACCGGGGGGATGGTGACGGTGTGATGGCTGAAGTAGACAAAGATGTCAATGTACTGCCAGTGGTAGAAGGAGTAGGGGTTCTGCACCGCGGAGCCCTGGATGAACCTGGGCAGAAAGCAGAGTCAGTGCTGTGGCGGGGGGCAGCCCCGGAGAGGGGAGCCAGCGAGCCGGGTGAAGTTCTCCGTATGAGAGGGGGCCACGGCGTAAGAGGGGGACCCATGTCCACGGTAAGAGGGGCAGCCCCGGAGAGGGGAGCCAGCAAGCCGAGGGAAGTTCTCCATATGAGAGGGGGCCACGGCGTAAGAGGGGGAGCCACGGAGTAAGAGGGCACCCACATTCACTGTAAGAGGGGGAGCCACAGAGAGGGGAGCCAGCGAGCC